GTTTTGTGAGCATAAGTGGCTCATGGGAACCAGGTTCACAAAACCCAACTAGAGTGGCTCAAAATGGTACTACCCGTTTTCTCGCTGCTTGCAGTTCAAGTAACCCAAGTACCCGGTGTACGATAAGCCGATGAGCGGGTGTAGACTTACCCAATCCAGTTATATATTGGGGTAGCGAGAGCAATTTTGGGCAATGCTGCACTAATAATTGGTATCAAATGAGCAATACGATTCTCATCAGAGCCATTTATACGGTTCAGGCAACACTTAACGAGTGGTTTCAGCTACACTTAAAAAATGGTTCATTTTGGTACTTTTGAAAACCCTCGTTTTATGGTTCAATTTTTTTCTGAGTGTAGAGTGGCTCAAAATGGTACTACCCGTTTTCTCGCTGCTTGCAGTTCAAGTAACCCAAGTACCCGGTGTACGATAAGCCGATGAGCGGGTGTAGACTTACCCAATCCAGTTATATATTGGGGTAGCGAGAGCAATTTTGGGCAATGCTGCACTAATAATTGGTATCAAATGAGCAATACGATTCTCATCAGAGCCATTTATACGGTTCAGGCAACACTTAACGAGTGGTTTCAGCTACACTTAAAAAATGGTTCATTTTGGTACTTTTGAAAACCCTCGTTTTATGGTTCAATTTTTTCTGAGTGCACATGATCTGTGCTGTGTTTAGGCTCAGCCGCACTACATAACTAGTTGGCTAATGACGCAAACATTTTTTTTCTTTTCAATAAGCATGTATGGCTGAAGAACCAGCCTCTTCATTTCCGGTGTCTATGTCTTATGCTGGTACGCTGGTACCAATATCCAAGCAGAGCATTCTTTTAACCCTCGCCGGCACAAGAGGGGCGGGGTTGATGCAACCATGCAACCCCCTGAGGTTTTTCGCAAATAACTCACGTAAAAAGCGGCCGATTGCGACGAAACTTTCCGTTACCTCGCATTGATCAATTTTATTCGTAGTCTTAAAATTTCTTGACCCTGACCCCAATGACCTTTCGCCTGTGACCTATTTTCAGAGACCATGTTTGGCCGAAATCGCGATTTGGCGAATGTCAGCTTACATTAGCCGCGCGTTTCCAGTCTTTTCGGGGTTTCAAGCGTACAAATATGTGATTTGATGTAGCTCCTAAGGGTGGATGTCAAGGTCACCCGAAGGCCAGGTCAGGTCACTGACCTTTGATGACTTCGGTCCACTTTTTCGAGTTTTACATGTTTCTAGCCTAGTTTTTTTTTAGCTGAATTCGTATTTAGGAACCATTTGAACATTTACGAAGTAGTTTTGGTGCCTTCGTAACATGTTACGAAGCTGTCAGAGGCGGTTGACACATACTACGAATACCCGGCACGACCCCTACTGGTTGACCTGACCTGACCCGACCTGGCCTAAAAACATACTCGAAAAGACATCAATCATCTGTGATCAAAACTAACATGATATTCGTGATTAGCACCCCGAAAAACCCATAGCAGCCACACATTACAACGTTCTAACAGGTCCCGATTTTCCCGACTTTTGGGTCATTGACCTGACCTGGAAGGTCACCCGATGACCTAGGACCTTTAAATCGGGTATCATCTCGTCACGGGCAACACGCTCGCCTTTGCTGCGAAGCTCTAGTTCAATCAGGGGCCGAACGCGATGGGGGTCGTACCAACCCCCCCCCCCCGCTCTGCCGTCGAAGGACGCAAAATGGCCTGTGCCGGCGAGGGTTAAACGTTTTTCTGTATCTTCAAAGCTATAGTCATGACAGCTCTTCCCGCGAAACCTTTTTTTGTCGAAAACGGCAGAACATTACGCACACCTTGACGTCATTTCCGGCCAACCTATCATAGCCCTGGGAAAAAATTGGTCACAATGTGTAAAATTGATATCCGGGAGGGTACTTAAAGTTTGGTTACGATCGGTGCAGCGGTTCTGGTGATATATCCCGCGACCGCCTGGGGGGGGGTCGGATCCGACCCCCCCCTCCGTTTTTCTTGAATAACTCATGAACCACTTTCGCTATCTACTTGAAACTTGGCATACCTTCTCCCCCATCAATTTGACGTCTCCTGTGCAATGTTTAGAAAAAATTTCTAAAAATTTTGAGATATATCGATTTTAGTGATGTAACTACATGGCATTTTTAGTCAAAAAGTGGTAAATGTTTAAAAAATTGCCAAAAATCAGGGTTTGAAGCAAATTGCAAATTAAGGACATGAAAAGACGCAGCTCAACGAGTTCTTTAAAATGGCTATCTCGGATTTTCCATAAAATGCGTTTTTCACCCCTAAAAATTCAAAAAACTATATTTTTTGGAAAACAGCTAATAAAATCCAAAATTTTGGGAATTTCCAAAAACCCGGAATATATGTTGTAGAGCTCTATTAGAACAATAGATACCCCAAATTTCAACTTTCTATCTTGATTTTTGACCCCCAAATTGTAAAAAATAGCTCCAACATGCATAGGGCATGGTGACGTCATAAGCATTTTCGTGAATTAGAGGCACTTCTGAACATCGCATGTGAAAACAAATAGCATCACTAGATTCCTGGGACAAAGCTCGTCTAGAAAAGTGCATTTTTATGTCAAAAATAAAAAGTTGAAAAATTGACTTTTTTTCTTAGCCCTCGTTTAGTTATGTATAGTATAAACGATTTTTTATGCTTTCAATGCACACTTATCACCAGCACAGTGACTTGGGGTCACATATACCCATTACCAAGGGATTCGGCGTGAAAAATAAGCCATAAAACATGTGTCGCACGCTCATGTAGCAGAAAGTGAAAACCGCGACCTTTCGTGACCTGACCTGACCTTGACCTGTACTTAGTATGACCTCTATACGCACATGGTACCTTCACTAGGCCTTTGAAGTCATTTTTGGTGAGTTTCGAGCAGCAGCTATCGATTCCGCTGTCCGTAAGCCGATTCATGCAAAACCCCTGAGTTTGACCTTTGACCTGACCTTGACCTAAAAGTTGACCTCAATTTTAAAATCTTAAGAGTGCTTTGGGAAGGTCTCGTAGAGACCTTTCGAACGCCGCCTCGCTGGGCTCGATACGACCATTGGTTCTCGAGATAACAGGGGGGGGGTCGGATCCGACCCCCCCCAGGCTGTCGTGGGTACGGAAATAGCCCAGGCGGTGCCGGGATATTTAACAGTCTGGAGGGGGGGCAAAAAATAGCCACCCCCCCCCCGGGGCGGTGGTTAACACTGTTTTTAACTTTTGAACATAAAATATCGGTTTCTGTTTTGTTACCCCGATGCTTTATCGAATATACCGGGTGGCCAAGAAACAACGTTTCCAACTTTGAATCAATATTTCTCAGAAAGTGATGAAGATGCAACCCTGAAACTTCTAATAGTCAATGCGGCATATATTTTCAGTGAATGGTATGATTTTTATCTTATTCGGTTAATTACTTTTTAAACGGTTCGTGTTTCTAGCATGCCATGTAAAAATTACTTTTTTGCTCAGATGTTTACTAAAAAATGTGAGTGAGCGGGCCACTTCCATCTCGGCACCACGGCCTGCAGCCATGACTGCTACTGGCAACTAGTCTCATTGGTGGTTCAGGCCTCAGGGTGACACATTCCGTCTAGCTTTTTTCTTTATTCGGTCGATTTACTGTTTTATCTTCTTGAAGGGAGGGCGATGAGCAGTAACCCATGCACCGTGCCACTCCTGCTCGAAACAGGACTTAGCGTTGAAACGAATGGCATCCGCCATCCATTAACACCATTTTGGCTCATTATTTGAAATTTTGGCACATAAGTGGGAAAAAATATAATAACAGCATACGTGCTGGTTTCATTCACGTGTTCTATTTTTCTAATTTTTTTCTAACATAGTACGTCCAAGCCAATCATCACTTCCGCTCAACATCAGCAAAAAAAGCAAAAACGTCTTACTTAATTCAACATAAGATTGCTGGCTTGAAAATGATGGTAAAGTGTTACAATTTGGCATGCCGATGCGCAAAGAAGTGATGCAAGCTTAATAAAAATTTTGGCTCGTTATTTGCACTCGAATTTGAGATATAGGCCTCCAAAGTTTGGAATGTTTTTTTGGGCCACCCGGTATTATTTTTCTGGTTACCTGACGCGTTTTTTTTTTTGTAATGAAAAGAGAAAACTGGTCAGTTTCGCTTCGTTAGGTACAGCCGCTATGGTAGGTAGGTAATGTTTACCTCAGACGGACAATGCTTTAGCTGATGGGCTATGTGACCCACCGGCAAATAAAAGAGCTCACTCACTTGTCCATTTAATGAAGCGTCCTTACATACACTGTAAAAAATGATAGCACGTTTTGTGTTATATGGCCAAAAACGACTCGGTACAGCCGTATTTCATAACACGCCACCGTGTTTCCTCATACACGGTAAATCCGTGCTACATAACTCGGTATGAGTTTTGACTTTCCAAAAAGTGGTGTTCCGTAACTCGATAAAGACGTGTTACCGAGTTCGATAACTCGCCAACATGTTTCTAGCGTATCGAATAACGTGTAAAATAGCTCGCATTAAAGATGTTAAGTGTTCAATAACACCACTGGTGTTTCTGGGCTCGTATAATTATCGGCTACATAAACTTATTTGTGTTAACATATCCGGAAATTAGATGTTAAACTCGCCATAAACGTGTAACGTGTTTCGTAGCTCGGTCCGTGTTCATATACTTCCCGTCCAGTACCTCCTTTTAGAATGTATATCAACGCAAAATGAGCTGCATTACACGATGCAATGATCATGCTAAATGAATATATAAATATAATTCATGTGGACTTATTCATTGCGATGAAAGGCGTACCTCCTTTGATGCGAACGGGGTGTAACAGGCCCAGCCGCGTTTAAACAGAGGTAACGTCTTTAACCGCAATAAATCGACACGAAGTATACATTTATACAACTCATTCCACATAATAATTGAGGCGTGTAACACAGTTCGTTTTGCTTTAACACACATCCTCGTTAGTCAAGTTCATTAAGTCTCAGAATACAAATTTACTCATTATATATTTCAGCAGGTTGTTCACAGTAAACATGCGCTCTGAGCCTCATCAGAAGTAACGCCACGGCGGACGAGCAGTGGACAGTGGTCCTCCGCGATCAGCAACACTAGTAGTGTGAACGACACCTATGAACAACACGTCTTTGGGCCTGGCGATGGGAGAGTAGAGGTGCCGTTTCAAATGCATTCACTGGCGCAGTCTTCAGCTTGTGGAGCCGGTCGGCGCAACGATTTTTTAACGACTTTCCGAACGACTTTTGGGAGACCTCTTGCGTCAGTACTAGCTGGGCGCTGGGGCATTGAATTTTCTCATTGAACACGGGGAACATTGCCGCACAAACTAGGAGGCGCACACTCAGAGGCGTGTTGTCTTCGGAGATGGCAGCCTCGCTCCCCTCCACCCGTGACACTAGCGTTCTGGATGCAGGGGGAGGACGGCGTCGCGGACCTATCATTCGCGGACACGTCGTTGTGCCTCACGAGAGGAAATTCTAAAAAGCGTCCAACCCTGGTCCGTGTCTGAAATAAGAAAGAAATATTAATGTTAATAAATGACGAAGTGCATGAATGAACAGCATAATGATACATACCTTAACCTTCGCACGGGTGGGGGGTGCGGGTGGGGGTTGGCCACACCTGCCAGTTTTTTTGCGAGTGTAAAAAACGCGGCGAGCAGCGCTGCGAAACTTGGTATAGCTTATGATACATCAATTTCGCATCGTGAGTAATATTTTTGACCCCGGGTCACATAACGTCAGGTCACAAGTCAAGTTAAGTGATTATGCCTCTAAAAACTTTGTGACTTTGTGATTCAGTCATTTCTAAAGTAAATTCGTACATCCCAGAAGTTTGAAACTCATGCTATTGCATGAGCTTGTCAGTATGAACAATTTGCATATCTCGGAATTTCGATTTCGGTGACCTAAGGTCAGGTCGATTTTGCGACCTCTCCATTGACTTATAGTCAATGTAAGAAAATTGAAATCCTCTTCTTTTGGCCGAAAACACCCTCAAACATCGGGACACAAATGAACATGACACAATGAACCGGAAAATTGCACCTGTGGCCCCTTTAATGCCTCTGAGGTCATCTCAGGTCACGAAACGTCTCAAACAGTGTCTGCAAACACCAGGAATGTGTTCAAATTAACAATACGAATCGAATGACATGCAACATGACCTTTTCCGTGACCTTGACCTGAGGTCAAATTTTTAAGTTGACCTTTTTAGGTCAACTTGTAGGTTATTCGACGCGTCTCGACGTCATTTTTCTTTGACCTATGACATCACAGGACGGCAAGCAAGGTCAAATTGTACCAGTTTACAATGACAAACATTTTATTACGTAAAGTGGCTTTTATCATTTAAAAGACGACAAACGTTTATACCTATTCAGTCAGGAAGAGAGGGTAAGTATCGTAGACATTACTCTAGACTACTTTCAGTACCTAACAAGTGCTGAAAAAAATAGGACGTCACAAGAACAGTGGCTTTTTTTAGTCTTTCAAATAACTATACATATTACTGGCAGTTTTAAAGATACCTATTTTGTTGATTTTTAGGATGTGTAAAGCCGATAAGGAATAAGGATCTATCCGACATATGCTCCGTTTTTTACTTCTCTAAATTAAAAAACCTGAAGGAGTTTTGAGTGTAGAAATAAAGATCTTGATATTTCTATTTTGGAAATTTTGTGGTAGCAGTTCCCTTTGCCATGCATTTTGTACGTACTGTGCGAATTTTTAGTCTCTAGAATGATAATATATTTTTGTGATTTTTTCCGTGAACCACTTTTTTACTTTTTCGACGGAAAATGGCCGAACATGACCTCAGTTTGACCTCCATAACTCATGACCCGAGGTGACCTAGGACCCATTTTTCAGGAGTTTAGTGAAATTGATGTCCGGAGAAGTACTAGAATCTGGAGTTAAAAATCGCGGCCGTTTTTGAGTTATGAGCGTAAAAACAACAGGGGTGCCTCCCCCTTCCCCAACGGGTCGCGGGATAAGCTCGCACCCTTTACTGAAGTGACTGTCCCTTGACCTCTAAATGGCCATTCCCTGTCATTATACTCTTACACGAAAGGCCAACGCACTAAACTAACATATACTTGGGGATTTGGTACGTACGTTCACTATCGACTCTACACCTTTTTAACCTCAAATTAAATTAGTTAACTTTAAATTAAAATAAGTCAACTTCAAATTAAAATAGATCAATTTCAAATTAAAACTGTCAACTTCAAATTAAAATAGGTCAACTTCATATTAAAAAAGTAAATTTCATTTTAAAACATTGCTACACTATGTAGTTATGTTCTTTGAAGCGAATATAATGCAAACCCATACACAGTGACATATGTAGGGGAAGGAGGGTGAATTGCGCCACCTTAACGAAAAATGCTAATTGTAAGAAAACCGCTGGAGATATAAGCATGCACTGGCAACCATTTCAAAGAGGAACTCATTGGCTACGATTTAAGAGCCTCCCGATCAATTGAGAATGTTTCGTTTGCTTCTGACAGCTGCTTTTTCAGAAACATGCAAAAGGGCGCATTTGCCAACAACTGCTGTAAATTGCGCCAGGGGGATGGCGCAATTAGAACCCAATTGCGCCCTATACTTTAACATGGCTAAGTGAATGAGACGGAATGCATACACCCCGGCAGTCTAATGTCATTGCGGCTTCCTTAAACATTTATAATGTTATTCAGGCTGGATAAATAATAAATGTAGATATAAATCGCGATGTTTTTTGCCCAGGTAGATAACTTTACACGTGTCCGTACGCTTGTAAAAGTGCAACGAAAACGTTTACTGTAACCGACTAGATATATGTGAACGTATGCGCCTATACAGTTAAATCTGCAATCGTTTCTCGCAAAATTAATAATTTTTATCGTTTTGAAAACTTAATGACATCAGTTTTTAGTTTTTTTATCATAGCGTTCACTTCTCACGCCTGAGTTCATGTTAAAAATGTCGTATTTTGTCCATTACACCACAGGCCGTAGCCTAAATGGCAGCTGCATTATAAGTTTGACGAGAGAAATAATTTGCGGACTGACGACAGCGGGCTGCTCCCTTGCCTGACATTAAACTCCTGCTTTATTGCCATCATTTAATGATGCATTCATACTGTCGTGATACAATGACTACACCATTATTCTATTTGCGCCCCCCTGGCGCAATTGCCATGGGCGCAATTAGAATTGAGGTTTTTTTAATAAAAGCGTAGAAGTTATCATAAAGATGTTGAAGGATGTTTACTGTTTCAGTGAAATACAATGAAAAAAGGGGTTTTCATTCTAAATATCACTCTAAAAATCACACAAATATCGCAAATTTTTATAGCCAACGGTTCAAAATGCTGCAAAGAAGTTAAGAAAACGCCATGACATCTTTGATGGCGTAATGAGCCTTGCTAATTGGCTTAATCAGAGAGTTTGGGCCATAGAATGATCTATCCAGTGGTGAAAATAATGTTTTCGAAACAAAAATCTAAACATGCCATTGAATCCGTGGGAATGTTGGTGGGCGCAATTGGTTAGGAGGGCGCAATACACCCACTTTCCCCTAGGTATGTATTGGTGCAGCTCACAGTGGCTGCATACACACCATACACGGTGACATATTAGTGCAGCAAATCTGTCCACTGGTGGATCCAAGGGGGGCATTTGGGGCAAATGCCCCCCCCCCCTGCAGTCCCCGAAATTGACGAAAATTTTCGTTTTTTCGAGAAAAAAAACGAAAACTAAACACCTTTTATTAAGAAAAGTTTGTTTTAAACTGCACAGCAGTGCGCAGGGAATTAAAATCCGATGAGTTTTTGGAATTTGGAGAAACTTTTTGGGGCATGCCCCCCCCCCCCGCGGCGTCCAAGACCGCCTTTCTGGATCAGCCAATGAATCTGTCACTGTGTATGGTTTTACACAATATATGCGCTTCAAAGAACATAACTATTAGTGTAGCAATGTTTTAAAACGAACTTGACTTATTTTAATATGAAGTTGACTTATTTTAATTTGAAGTTGACAGTTTTAATTTGAAGTTGATCTATTTTAATTTGAAGTTGACCTATTTTAATTTGAAGTTGACTTATTTTAATTTGAGATTAAAAAGGTGTGTAGGTACTAGGTACCCATTAGCCGTTTTCACGACGGGCTTCCCGGCGAATGCACCTAATTTGACCAAATCTGCATCTAATCTCTTTTAGAGCCAATATCTTCATTTTATAAATTTACTAGAGGTACAGGTTTACGCGATAACTGTATGTTTTGATTTATGTTATGTTACGGGTGCATTACTTTGGGTGATTGACTTGTATTTTTAGCTGTGTTATTTGGGTAGATTTGGGTAGCTGTTTTTAATTGAACTGTAAGGGATGGTGGTAGTTGCGGGGTGTTCAAGTGTTTTGTATGTTGGGCCCTTTTTGAACTCAACCCTACCCCTACCCTACCCCTATCCTAACCCTACCCTACCCTACTACCCTACCCTACCCTACCCTACCCTACCCTACCCTACCCTACCCTACCCTACCCTACCCTACCCTACCCTACTACCCTACCCTACCCTACCCTACTACCCTACCCTACCCTACCCTACCCTACCCTACCCTACCCTACCCTACCCTACCCTACCCTACCCTACTACCCTACCCTACCCTTAATGTCTGATAAGTTGACAAAGCAGACATCTACGCACTTAGTGCAACCCTAGCTGATAGCAACTAAGAATCACACTGAACCTTATTTGACCAAAGCTGCACCTAATCTACACCAAATGTGCACCAAAAGTGTACCAGATGGCCGTCGTGAAAACGGCTATTATAGACCTATCGTCCAACATCAACCCAATAATAGCCAATGCACATCATACAGACGGCTGAGCTAAGAGCTTCGGCGTCCGGATCCGTCCGTCGGAGGAGGCCGTCAGCGGTCGCCATGGCAACGGCCTCGCTTGGACAGCGGGACAGCTGACCACGGGAGCGGGACGAGAGAGGGAGGGAGAGCGCAGGGGTAGAGAGCGCCCGGGCGCCCGGGCTCTCGTCGGGTTTCGGTTACGCTTTTGATGATAATAAATACGTTAAACATGTGATTTCAATTTTCATATCGGCTTCAAATTATAGAAGGCAAAACCCCAGTCTACTAAAATACAACCGAGTCCCATGCAGACACTAATTGTGATATGTGAAATAATAAATCGGCAGAAATAGCCTAGAACAATACCTTTTTATCCTGTTAGCAGTTGAGCCGCATTCATCAAGGAATGAAGTCCTGCCTCACAGGCCTTGAGCTCTGACTGGGACTTCGAGATTGACCTTCATTCTGCTCATCTTGAGTCGTATCTGAAGTAAATAAATTATGTCAGTTCGCAGCCAAACAGATGTCTACCTACTTGTTTTCCACAGACAAAAAGAAAAGCGGAGGGAGACACAATGGGAGAGAGAGGGAGAAAGGGGGAGGGAGCGAGCGAAAGATTAGGTGAGAGAGAGAGAGAGAGAGGGGAAGAGAGAAACCAGGCAGACTAATCATAACTAGCTGGTAGATACATACTCATAGCAAAAGTTGAAAAGGTACAGTCCAAATTATTCATGTATAGCATTTTACAAACGCACACATAGCCACCAGTGGTGGAGTGGCAGAATGAGAATCAGGGCCGAGGGCTCCTCCTTTCCATCCATAACGCCACACTGCACGGATAATATTTATGCAACCACGCCTAAAAGACATTTAATATCACTGATGTTATTTCTAAGAATAATTTGGAGCAAGTATCGCTTGTACTTACCAACAAGACGTCAGACGCAGCACAGACACGAGCTCCCTGGATCGCACGAAGATGGCGACTGAGGCCCACGCGGCGCTGCATTTGGCGCGAAACTGAACCGAGTAAGTTAACAACCCACAGTGTTAATATCTCTCAAGATCGCGGCTCAAATAACCTCATTCTGCTTTTTAAACTCGACGCAGAGGGGTAAAACACGTCAACGTGTCATTCAACACGGTATAACCGTGCGCAAAGATGCTTCCACAAAATCGTATTCGTGTTTCGGAACACAGTGTCCGCCAAATGCGGGTATGCATACATGGCGATTACTCGAAAGGTGTCATTGTACATGGGGATTCCGAGCTAGTTCATCCTGATTTGGACCAACCGTGTTTTGCTTCGCAATAAGGTTTAAATTACTCGATAAATACGGATTCATTAGCAAGGTAGCTTGTTTGAACACATCATTAAAGTGAGTCAGAAAACTCAAACTGTGCTAACATTTTTTACAGTGTAGGCATGGTTATTCCATAGAAATGCCGTTGCATCACATGTAAGTGCACGGAAGCCAAAGTTCCACCGACAAAAAGCTCTATTGTATACCCTAGTGTGGAACATAATTCGCGTTTTTTTCTGGAACGCGAGTTACAGTTGCATAATTAAAAATGAACGTAAAATGAATTAGTGAAATAAAACGTTTAAACACTTCAATATCATGGTGTTATCACGTTCACGGAGAAGCGCACCACCTCTCCGCGTCTTCAGCGCCGCTGCACAGCTCGTCATCCGGTCTCTGGCTGTCTCTCACTTTCCGTCCCTATCCACCTTGAGCGGCACGGTCTTCTCGGGCCGGTCCGGCTGCTGGGGGCACTTCCTGGGCGCGGTGATGGTGAGCACGCCCTCCTTGCTCAGGTGGGAGACCACGCCGTCCTCGTCCGCGTCCTCAGGCAGCTCGTACTTCCGGGTGAACTGGCGCGCCACCGAGCCGTGCTCGTCCCGCTTCTCCTCGTGCTTGGCCTCGACCACCACCATGCCGTCGACGATCTTAACCTTGAGCTCCTCGGGCAAAAAGTGCTGCACGTCCAGCCGCATCTCCACGCGGTCCTTGTGCGACGTGATCTCTGAGGTGCCCGAGTTCTGCCTGCGGAACATGGCAGGGGTGGTCAAAAAGGATGAGAGGTACCACAAACTAGTTCTGTGTAGGGCAGAGAAGAGCTGGTGTAGCTTCAAGCCATATTTAGTGTATAATACAGTCTACACTTTTCATACGGCTTTCTACACTCGAACCTCAAATTTAACATTGAATTTGCCCATCTAGCCAGAGCGGCCCCCGTTTGGAGCGGCCCACCTGTGCAGGACGACGGGCGCCCTGGAGGCGTATCGGCGGCTGGAGACCGCCGGCAGGTAGTCGTCCATCAGCGGCCGCCGCGGCACGCCCATGCCGAAGTGCTGGTCGAACATGCGCGGCGACCGGTGGCGGCCGAAGTCGCGCAGCGCGTCGTCGAAGAAGGGGTCGTCGAAGTAGAGTGGCACCGACATGGCTCCGACCTGTCGAGAGGCACTATTCAGGGTGTGTCCGGTGCACCGACAGGTCATGGTCGAAGGAGGGGTTCAGTATCACGCAGCGAGGCAACAGACTTACTAGACGAATTGAAAATTAGTGCTGACTGAAGATCCGGGCGTTAAACGGGAAGATAGTCAAATATGTAGCCAGATGCGTGGCGGGTCACAAAGGGAGAAGACAGATATAAGGGTAAGGATGTTTTAAAGATCCTAACCCTAAAGAGCATGGGCCTCCTTAGCATTAGCCGCGTTTACATAGGGCTAGTTGCCAGATAGTGGAATTCCACTAACGAGACATTTTTTCCACTAACGAGACATTTCAGGCACCTTCAGATAATTCTGACGACCTATCCGGCCAGAAGGACCAAACCGATTGACAAAAATAAATACATCGTGGCGGAAGAACACTAAGAGGTACTTCAGGCCTAGACATAGTATAGATGTCGCAACTCGCGGCCTTCCCGGCAGTAAGGGCGAGGTATAGATGACGCCACTGCAGCAAGTCACTGGAACGTACGAGTCGTGGAATGGAACGGAAGATACGGAACGGGGGCTTCTTAACGGAAGCTTATTCGTTTAATTTTCATTTAAGAATTGATTTCGTGCGCTAGGGAAAGAACATTGTCTTCTTTTTTCATACGTCTCCACCCCCCCCCCCCCGTCCCCTCCATCCTTTGGATCAGCCAGTGTGCAGCAAGAGGGTTCATCGGAGAAAAACAACAAAGAGCAATCCTCCCTGAGCCTGTCAGGTCAGAAATAACCTGAGCATAGGCGACGGAACGGGGAGGGCACCGGGGCACCGTGCCCCCCTTTGATTTTGGCCTGCATGGAAAGAATGGGACCAAAAGTCGGCGGTGTCCCCCCCCCCTCCGCGGCTACTGAAGCTGAGGACCGTTCGTTATGCCCTACTGCCCACGCTTCTTAAAATTTCAGTAGTAGTCAGTTATCTGGCCAATGTTTCCGTATAGGGGCTGGCAAACACAACTGAGCCTCGTGAGTGGGATGAGTACTGGACACAGAAGTGGACAATCTGTTGGCAAGAAGCCCGCAAGGATAATATCTCGAAACTCAGGACTACGTATACAAACACTTTAAATGCATCTAAATCTATACTATAATCGAAAGCCGCATTGTTGTGAACTACCGGCACGTGCGTCCAATCACCATCAAGAACGGAAGTCCGACCTACAGCAAGCACGACAGTCCGATCAAAGATGTATTGAAAAATAACTAGCAACTTTAAACATCGCCTTCCTCAGCCACGCTCTACACCGCATCACATAAGAAAACCGCCAATATCGATTACAAAACACACATAAAGGAATTCCGTAGGTATAGATCAGAGGAATACTTCACCTCCTTTATCTGGCGCGTCAATAGGTATAAAGTAATCTTTGGCGTCTACGCACTAGCAACATCTATAATGCAAACAGCAGTTCAGAAACCATCCACTAAAATTGTAACAAGGCAAGGGTTGGTCAAAATAAATTATAGTCACCGTGATAAATAGCAAACGAAATACAAAACAAGCACAACAAAGCATTCCACACTCGTTTAGACTGTACAACATGCCTACATAAGACATTGCAGCAGTGTACGAGGAAAACATTCTTTAAAGATGCTAACGTGGGGAGTTTTAAAAGTTTGGTGAACACAGTTACGAGTCACTGCACAAGAAATGTAGCGCGGTCGCCAGCCGGCCCAGGCGAAAGAGTCGACGGAGACGGCGTCAAACAAACCCGAGAGGGGGTAGTTTCATCCGCATCAGCGGAGGCGCTCTCTCTACCAAGGTCGTCAGTTACCAGCCGCAGCACCCTGCTGGCGATTTGATAGCTGCTCTCATTCTCAGCTGGCTGAGCGCCATGTGCCGGGTCATCCGGCTCCATGATTTCCCCTTTCATTAGCAGCTGCTGTTGTAGTTATTGTTGTTGCGTTCCTTTCAGCCGCTGCCGCAGCATAGCCGTACGGTTCTGGATGGTTCTCACGGCGGCAGCCAGGGTCATCCGTCCTGCCAGCTCCGCCGCCAGGCGCGCGCAGCGTCGCGCGCGCCTGCCTTGCAGATAGTGCTGCCCAAGTCGATCGGCGGACGGCGCTACCGTTGGGATAGGGCGCCAGCCTCGCGCGCGAGGGCGTCCATCCGCTCGTTGCCCGGAAGCCCGCAGTGTGCAGGAACCCACTGCATTATCACTGGATGGCCCCCTCGGTGAGCGCTGCCAGCAGCCCTATATGTCTGCGGCCAGAGGGGCTCTCTGGGCCGCCGCGCCGCTCCGCAGGAGGGCCAGCGCCGCCATCGAGTGGGTACAGACGATAATTATCGGAAGAGAGGTGTCGCGACCAGTCTTGGTCAACAGCTCCTCCAACACCGCTCTTAGGGCGAATAGCTCGCCGCGCGTGCTAGAGCAGAGGGCGCCTGCCGCGACACGCACCTCCCGGATGTCGCGGTTCAGGGGGGGGGGTGGCCCCTCCTCCTCCATCTAGCACACCATCGGTGGCGGAGCTGTCTGACCAGATCAAGCTCGCCTCAGACGGGAGCTCCGCCAGACGACTTTCCGCCGCCTTGGCTCGCCAGCCGTCGCGCCCAAACTCGCTTCAGGCCGTGAGTCTATAGCCGGCGCGGTGGCGTGGCTTCGCCATACTAGCCTTGGGCGGGTTGTCCTCAGAGAACGCGTTCGCATTGGCGAGGAGGCGAGCAGCGCCACGAGTCCTGAAATGACCAAACAATATCAATGGACAATCAAAATTGTGAAAATTGGCATTAACTGCGCAACTGATGTTTGCTTCTTTGTTTATTAGGGTTTACGGGCGCTACGGTGGTCATTTTGCACCCATGACGCTGTTCTGGTGAACCTGCGCAACTGAGCAGTGATCATGCCATAAGTTATATTTGGCGTAGTGGCAGGGTTCCACCTAAAATTTCGGCGCACGTCAGGTGTAAAGTTACATGCGACAAATTCAGCGCATGTCAGTTGGGGAGACTAACCCCGCGTTCGATGTCTCCCGGACGGCAAAGATTCTACGCCGTCCGGCCAATCACGTTTCATAACCACAGCCGAGCCCCAGCTGACCTTGGACGGGATTGGCTGGACGACGTAGAATCTTCGTCATCCGAGAGACATCGAACGCGGGGTAAGGCTGCTGGAGTGCTGGAATAATATAAAACGAGGGCACCAAAAATTGATCCTAAATGACGATACTTGGACATTAATGCAGACCCTCTCTGTATCACCAATTGTCAGAAAACAACCATGTGTTTGAAAGAGCGTTAGAGAGTCATGAAGCCAGGATAAAACACAGTGCTATTTTCTCAAAGCAGCTTTTACATGATAGAGTTAGGTAACTCTCTCTCTCAGTTAACCATTCGCAAGGCCAAAAAGGCCTATTGGTTTTGAAAGGCATTGGATTACAAGCTGAGCATTTTTTACTTTATCATAAAATGTTAAACCTGCGTGTAGATGAAGTCTGAACGGTGGTTTGTAGGCTGATAGGTTGGAGGTTGGAGGTTAGTAGGGAAGGGAAGGTCAGGATAATTTCTGCTTTTTATTTTCATTGGACTTTAGCCTTCATCAACACACGCATCAAAAATATTTACTTGAGCATCTTCAAGCCTCAATATACAACAAGGTGTGCCACAACAAATTAAAAATTGATGATATGCCAATATATGGTCATGATTTTTACCACCAGAATTGAATTAAATGCCTATTGATGCCTTACCTAATAGGCTGAAATCTGATTAACCAAGCATTTTTTCTTGTGAATTGGCAGTCTAAAATTTGGCTGGCTTGAGCACGACGCTATTGCTCTAGCAGAATCTCAAACAGATGTCTACCAAGTGCCACTCCCAAGAAAGTTTTTCAAGATTCTAAAACCACAAACTTTGTTGCTGCCTGATCATGTGATGGTTGATCAAATGATAGCACTCCATCTGAGGCCAGTTTTACAAACAGAAAATAGCCACCTGCCGGATTATTTTGCCTCAAGGCTAATTCACATATGGAGCATAAATGGTGAAGCCCAGGTTTAAAAGGAACAGGTTTCAAGACAATCGGCATGACAAACCAACACCTTACCTGCAGTTCAAGTTTGTCGATTTCTTTATCAAAATCTAGTCTTCGTCTAATCCACAAATCAAGATAAAATTACTGGATAGGTACAACTTCTTCTTATTCTTCTTCTGCACCTCACCCGCCGCCCCCTACACTTCTCCCTTATTCTGATAAATATATTTACATAATTTTCACAAAAATGCCACTCAACGGGGTAGATCTAAAAAAGTGCAGGGCTTAAATTTTGAGCTATAGAGTTCTCAGTGATTTTAAGACACCCAATATGTCTTCGGCACGCCGTATTTGTCTCTCACTGCCTGCGAATTCGGCGATATGATTGGTCGAAGGCCGACGCTATGGGTCCAAGAAAAGGCCAAGATTCCTGCCAAGATTCTTACAGATAGCCAAGGCCGATGACTGACGTGACTGACGGCATGTTACTGCCCTTGGCATATTGCCAATGCACTGCTCGGTCATATCCGCAGTAATGTCAACAGTCATATCGGAAGTAATATGGTAACTATACGCAAAAACCATTTGGCGTATAGCTACCATACTTTTCCGATAACGAGACATTCTAGATCAATCTCTCTGCTGTTGGCGACATCTGCTGAGAAATCCCAAGACCGAACGCAAGCACATAAAAGTAATGCACTCTAAGGATGCGTTCGAAATCTGGGAAGTGACGGATTTCATTTCTCAATGCGTGTCCCACTCCAGCCTTCCCCATGCTGTTCGTTCCGCCATCTATTGCCATGTTTCGCATTCGCATTTCATGAATTCACCACCCCGCCAAGTAGGTTGGTATCAAGTTGGTATAGGTGTCGCATCGCTCTGGTCGATCAGGAGCCGCGTTTACATAGGGCTAGTTGCCAGATAGTGGAATTTCCACTAACAGAGGGTTCACAAGAAATACGCCATGGCCAATATCCTGGACGCAATTCGGTGTGCAGACGAAAATATTCATGTGAGTGCTAGAAATTCGTAAATTACATTATTTCATTGACTTTTTTTTTGTTAAAAACACGTGATGACAAGCTCAACAAATCTATTCATGGTGGCTTACGTGGCAAATTGGCTTTCCTTTGTGGGATAATGCCATTTTCATTAGCTCTACTTTGATTAGCGTATGACAGGTGTTCGTGTAAAATAAGCAATTTTACCTATTTCCTTTATCAGTTTGGTAGCTGAAACAGCTACCAACTTACTTCCACTATGACAGTTTCCAGTAACATATGCTACTGATTGGCTAATATTAGCCAATCAGATCTCTGGAGTTCCCCGCAGTGCGTTACAACTATGACGCGGCAAAGACATATTTGGACATATCATTTCTATGTTGATATGCCTATCTACACTGCATATTGGCCTTGCGTGGATGTCATCAAGTGAAATGTTTTGGCCTAAGGTCAGTGAGACGCTAGTCGCTACTCTTCTATACGCTATGCCCTTTTTCAATATGAAAACGGTGTCGTGTTCTGACTGCAGGCAACTGGTAAGTTTGTGCAGGTCTCACGTAAATAGGGTGTGGGGCGAGAGCGCTCTATTGCTTTTCGATCCAGCAGGCAAGGATTTTGTTTTTTTTTTGTAAGGGAGTATAAGTTGAAGTCACAAATTTATTTAAGAGTTAGTACAGTTGTTTTGGTTTAAAAGTTGGTGCATTTGCCTTGTCAAGGGTATGGAACCTCAATATATTGCTAAGTCATATTTCCAGGATGTTGATAGGTATGTTTGGAAAAAGATGTTTTGATAATGTCGAGAAATGTAGCAAGGACATTCCTATCTTCCAATCAGTTGCTCGCTACAGTTTCATGATTTTAAGGTGTGCATGAAATAATGAGAAAAGGTAAAAACAAAAATATGAACAAAAATTTTGTTAATTCATGATGCATGATAGAAAAAGTAATTTTCTTTCGTTGATTAAAGCAAGGCTTGCGACTGAACCATAATGTGCATTGACTGCTGCGCAGTGTCCCAAAATTTGTAGATGTGGGTGGGAAACGACATAGAAATGCAAAAGGCATTTTCCACTCTCACCTCCAGTTTTCAAGCTCAATTTTCCACTCCCAATTCCACCGAGAAGGAGCAATTGTAGATAGATTAATGCTTTTGATCATTTTCCCACTATTCTTGGGCCTTACCTGACCGACAATTTTTCACTTTCATCCTTTTTTTTGGTCAGCAATTTTCCCCTCTGACACCCAAAATATGATTTTGGTACACTGCAGTGCTCCGAGTACCTACAAAACCAACAGCATGATGAATGGCTGAATTCTGCCCGAGTGGCTGCATTACCTAGTTGTTTTTTCAATTCACCACACTCCTCTGTATTATGCAGGCATGGGAGTTATTTCAGAATTAAAATTAATATTCAATATATCTTGTTTATGAGACTCCTCACGGGCCAGACTGGAAAACATCCATACACTACGCCGGACGCCCGTGAGACCATTTTGCGCCGAAATTTCTGAGTGATTTGCGCCAAAAATTAGGTGCCTATTTGTGCGAAAATCAAGCCCTTTTCATATAAAGCACATGTGCTCATATACTGATCAAGGCTATATCAACCAGGCAGAGTGTTTCGGGGCTTTGTACGCTATCCCATGTTTGAGCGTCCGAATTAGTTTTTATTTCCACGTAAACCCAATACTTCGACGGGAGCCAGCGAGGGCCCGGCAGCGGAGCAGCACGTGCTCCGGCACATCAGCCTCTTCTCGGCTCACGGTGCAGAGCGCCGCTGGGCACCGCTTGTCTGGGCACTGCTGGCACGCGGCGGAGTGGAGACAGCCGATTCGGTGCCGTATTGGAGCGAGCGGCCCCGGTGGCCCGCCCTCATCTGGTGCACCGAAATGGCATCCTCTCGGTCCTCTCCGGGGAGAGGGGAGCGGCGGCGTGCTCCCGAGGAGTGGCTTGAATAGTGATTCTGAGCAGTTGTCGCGCCACTGATGCGAGGCCGGACAATGAACCGCCCTGGTCAGCGATCGGGCGTTTGAGGGCAGGGCGGCCGCCAGTTTTGCCAGATCGTCCACGCTCTCATTCCCCTCGATACTGCAGTGGGCAGGAACCCACTGCTATTGCTTAACGACGCTTGGCGACGTTCAACAAGGTTTTCCATGCCTATCTCTACGCCGAAGGTTGAGGCCTCACCTGGGCGGCCGTTCCTCCGCTGAGTAGACTCAGGGCGGCTTGCCAGTTCGAGCACGCGACGACCGGGGCGGGGACGTGTCGTCCCGAAACCTCTCCAGAGCCGCCCGCGGGGTGAATCTGCTGCTAGATTGACCAGCGTACCGCATAAATTCGGTGACTGTCTTTCGCCAAAAATTTATGCGACCGCCCTGCACCGAAAAATTCTTCCGCCGCCATGCGCTGAATTCGGCGCATGCGAAGTTACGCCAGACGTGCGCTTAAATTTTCGGCGCAATCCCGCCACTACGCCGGACATATTCGGCATAACGTGTATTTTTCCAGTCTGGCTCACCGGTATGGATATGGCTGCTGGCAGGCTGTAGCCGGCCTTTGTCAGTAAGGGATTGGCTATGCATGGTTCTGTGAGTACATATGATTTCAGACCAAATTCTGCCCTAGCCCAGTATGCGCGCTTAGAATGTGGAGGGCATGCCAACATGTTCCTCTCAGCGGGGACTATGTCCTTGTGAACCCTTCCATTCAGAAGATTCAGAGCAAATTGATAACATAAATCCTTGGCTGGAGTGGTTGCTGGGGTGCTAAGACTTAAAATATGCGCTAATGTCAGGTGTCAGCCAGTAGCGGCGGAACACCTTCAATTAGGGGGGGGGGGGGCACTGCCGACTTTTGGTCGCAGTCCCATTCTTTCCATGCAACGCCCATAGGGCTAATGTTAAAATGCCAAAGCCAAAGGGGGGCACGGCACGGTGCCCCGGTGCCCTCCTCGTTCCGCCGCCCATGGTGTCAGCTCAAGCTACAGAGCTGCCATTCCAGCTGTTCTAAACCCCATAATAAAGGTGGTATTTCTCCTGACAGCTGAATCCTCTCCAGTGACAGCTGATCCTCGCCATCTGATCCTCCCCAAAGACAGCTGACACTCCCTGGTGGGGGATGACCTTGCCCGGTGGCTGGTGGCAGCGAACCCTTCCCAGTGATAGCTGACCTTCCCCGGTGGGAGGTCACAGCTAACCCCTCCGACGGATCACCCTCCCGGTTCTGAGCCCCGGCGTCACTGCCTCCCATTGACAGACTTTTCTGGCGGCAGCAGAAAAGTACTCCAGCCCAGCAGACTCCAGCCGAGCCGCACCCAGTGACGGCCGACGCCGAGCGGCCGGTCGGCGCTCCAGACGGGCCGCGCCGCCGGCCAGCCCACCGCCAGGCACTGCACCAGTAGCGGCCGCGCCTGCCCGGCCAGTACCCGGGCCGCGCACACTGCGGCTGACGTGCAGCCCGCCGCCGCCGCAGTCGCCGACCCACGGACGGATACACGGCCACCTACGTCCGGCTGGCCGACCAGACCACCCTGACCAGGTCTATCCGCCGACCGGAGCTGGTGCTGCTCCTCAAACACCTGCGGCCCAACACGGCATACTCAGTTCCGATGAGCGCCTGTAACCGAGCCGGCCAGGGTCCTGCCAGCTCGCCCGTCACCGCCACCACAGAGGAGGGAGTGCCGGAGGTGGCGCCGCGTCAGCTGACCTGCCGGGTCGTGTCACCCTCCTCCATCGGTCTCAGCTGCCTGTGGCTGGCCGGCGGCGCGTGCTGGCGGCGCGAGGGCCAGTTCCCGGCCGACCTGGACGTGGCCGAGTTGTGCAGTCTGCTGCCGGTCACAGTCTACCAGCTGTTGGTGAGCGCCCACAGCGCGGCCGGCACCACAGAGTCTACCACCCGGCTGGCCATCCACGCCGCAGACGGAGCAATGATATCTCCGCTGCCGCCGCCAGAAAAGTCTGTCAATGGGAGGCAGTGACGCCGGGGCTCAGAACCGGGAGGGCGATCCGTCGGAGCGGTTAGCTGTGAACTGGCCACAGCCGGGTAGAGCCCACCGTACTCCCGGGACACCTGCTGAATCGTCAGCTGACTAGTGACGTCCTTGACTCCAGAGGTGCTGTCTTGGACGTGGAACCTGCCGCCCAGCTGGTCGGCGCTGACGCCGTCCCTCGTCCAGGTGACAGCCGGCGGCGGTGACGCGGTGGCCGCACAGGTGAATGAGACCGCAGTGTCCACCACCGGCTGCACCGTCTGCTGAACCAGCGACAACAGCAGCCGAGCCGGCAACGCTCCGATCCTGACCTGGGTGGTGGCGAGGTCATCGGTCACGTGACACTGGTACATGCCGGCCACGGACGGGTTGCCGCCGGTCAGCTGCAGAGCCGGCCGGCTGGCGGCGGCGGGCAGACGGCGGCCGTCCTTGAGCCAGATGATGTCGCCGGCTGCCAGGGGCGGCGTCACGTGACAGGTCAGCAGAGCGGGCTGTCTGGTGGTCACCAGCAGCTGACTGGGTTCGATGACAGCGCGGCGTGTCACTGTCACCTCCAGTCGCGTGTTCCGCGCCGCGCTGCCCACCTCCGAGCTCGGCGATCTCGGCATACGCCCGCGTCCCCTGACCTGATCCGGCGTACCACCAGCTGCTGGCCACTGACCTCGACATGACCAGAGTGGAGCAGCGGCGTCAGCTCAGCGCCACGCACCTGTTGTTGTTGTTGTTGTTGTGGTTCCCTCCAGCCGCGTTACCGCGGTGTAGCCGTGCGGCTCTGGAGGTCCCTCACGGCGGCTGCCAGGGCCGCCACCTCTCCGTCGTCGCAGACGTCTTCCGGGCTCGGGAAAATCGTCCCGTACCTCCGGAGACGCCAGCCCATGAGGGCTGGGCACCGGAAGAAGAGGTGCCGGTACGTGTCGGCCTCCTCCCGGCACACGGTGCACCGGCCCGCCGTACAGTCGGTGTCAGGGCACTGGCGGCAATCGTCGGAAGAGTTCCGTCCAACCCGGTGGAGGTATTGGCGGGAGCCCGACCAGTGGCCCGCGCGGAGTTGGTGGACGTCGACGGCCGACGATCTGTCCCTCGCCGCGACCGGTGGCCGCAGCCGGTTCCCCATCAGGGTCCTGTACCAGCCCTCCGGCCAGGCGGCGGTGGTGCGGTCGCGGGCCAATCTGACGGCCGCACGGTGGGCGGTAGCGACGTCAACCGGGACCGCCGCCTGGGGGAGCGCGGCCGCCTCCTTGGCGATCTGGTCGGCGCGATCGTTACCGTCGACGCCGCGCCGGCGGGCCGGCGCTGCGGGCCACCGTGCGCAGCGTCACACACTGGCGGTGTGGTAGGTGACATCCCATCGTCGCCGCGTCCCATCTCAGAGTGTAAAACATAGTGTTATGCCACTATTATTGATGCTCATTGCTCAGTACGATACAGATAATGGCACATAGATAGCATCATCAACTAGGAAAGCATTATTAGTCACCTGTCTTGTGCTCTGTCGACGATTGATCGTGCCACACAGTACAGTCAGTCTTTAAAAGTACCGCCGTATCGGTGCGGTGGATTTCCGACGGAGGAAAGGCTGTTTGATTTTAGAGTAGCCGGACCAGTGGACCTGGGGATGGATAAAGGCTCACTTTGGCTCAGTGACTCTCAACTTTAGCAGCCTTTCCTCGATCGGGCTTGATGGATCCACCGCACCGATGCGCGGTGCTTGGGATGTACATACAGTACATTGGCAAAAGCGTGTAGATACTATTGAGCAGCCTGAACGCCTAAAGAGACCCTCCCACCTTCAAAAAAGTTAATGAATTGGCATAAAAGTGATGTCCAATGGATGAGAGTGAGCAAAAAGGAATATCTACTGGTGTACATTAATTTCCATCGAAAAATATTCAATGTTTTTTTATAGATATTACACTTATTATTTATTTCCCGGGGCCTACGCTGTTCATACGAAGTCATTGGGAAACAGTTATTTGGTATTTTAAAAGTGCGACCGATGTTGCGCGCAAAGTAGCATATACAGGGTGTCCAGAAAAAAAAAGATACTACGGAAATTAAGTCGCATTCATTAACGCACGTGCCGATTTTTTTCCAACTTCATGTGCTTATAGTGCAAGATTTGGCAAAACTCATGGGCACTGTAATGCGTCGTTGGAAAGTTGTCTGCCTGCCCTCCGAGATGATCAACATGACCATCAGTCACCTGCAGACTGTGCTAGTGCTGGAGCTGATCCGCCGGAAGGCCGCTCACATTGAGAATCTGCTTTGAGGAGCTGCCGCGACTGACCAAAGGGTTTACATGTCATGTGGCACCTGCTGTCTGTTTTGCCATATTTTTGTGAATACAAGCATGTTCCATTTTAAAATGTGCGGTGTTTATTTTCGGAATTACAGCCAAAAATAATAGTATCCGTTTTTTCTGGACACCCTGTACCACCACTGCTTCTTGAAGATGTTAGGATGTACAAAACTATGGTCCTTTTAAAGAAGATAATGTATTTTACTTGACGAGAATGCTGCAAAAATTCCTCCAATAATAATAACCGGTAATTACTTCTATGATATACGTATGAAGGTACCTATTTTGCAACTGTGTCAAAGCACAAAAGAACAGCATTCTGACAGCTCACTGTGTTATGTTGAAATGGCAAGTTTGGTTAAACTTGGTCAGTGCTGAACTTTGATTTTAATTGCTAATTGTTTTTTCATTTCAGAGTGTTAATGGAAACAGACGACGCTGAGCTGGGGCCGGACGCAGCAGGCGACGGACGCTGTAGTGTGCTGGGCAAAATAGTCCAAGATGCTGGTAGCGGGTGAAATACGCAGCTGCTCGTCGTCTCCAAGAGCGCCGCGGACGCCGTGGACTGCGCCATCAAAGTCGACGGAAAGTCGGTTCCAGCAGCCGACCGTCTCAAACTACTCGGAGCTGTTGTGTTCGGGTATAGGGGGTGTAGACTTGGACCGCCTCTGCGGCCCCACCTCTGTGCGCCTGGGAGCGCCCCTGCCGGCGCTCAGCTGTCCGTGCGCGCCAAGCGGCGTGAGTGGCGCACGGGACGAAAACTGACGCTCGCCATACTTGTTTAGTTTTTGGAAGACTCTCTCGGCCCATTCGCACCGGCAGTAAATAAATCGCGTTTCTCTTAAGCTCTCTCTCACTCGAACCGTGAATTACGAACATAACATGGCGCGGTCAGTAGATGGTTCCGTGCGAGTGATTAGTGTATAGCGCGCCGTGATCTGTGACGATGAGTGACATTGAGAAACTGACGCAGCTGCTCCTGCAGCAGGCGGAGCTGTCGGCGCAGCGGGAGCGAGACTCAGCGCAGCGCGAGGAGCGGCTCACTCAGATGGTGGAGCGACTGTCGCCGACCGACAGCCACCCGCTACCGTCGCTGCCGACGATGCCTCGGCGGCGACAGCCGCCCGGACGTCGGCTGCCGCCCCGCCCGTGCGCCTGCCTGCTGCTGCAACGCCGGCGCCTCAGCTGTCGTCCTCCACATCCCTGCGCGACTTCGCTGTATGGAGGGAGAAGCTGGACGGGTACATGCTTCTGACCGGCGCGTCCGCGCTGCCCGTCACTGCCCAGAGAGCTGCCCTTCTCAGTCTTCTCGACGAAGATTGGCACCGGGTGCTGCGCTATGGACTGACGATAGCGGACGACTCTCCCCTCTCCGCGGTGGTAGACGCAATGGAGAGTCATCTCCGTAAGCAGCGCAGTGTCCTGGTCGACCGCCGTGCGTTCTACGCCCGTGTCCAGGAGCAGGGCGAGAATTTTGAGGAGTTTCTGTGCGAAGTGAAGGAGCTCGCGGCATTTTGCGACTTTTGCACACACTGTTACGACTCACGCCTGCGTGACAAGATTGTGTGTGGCCTGCGGGACGAGGAGACGGTGAAGCGTCTGTTGGAGGATCCGGGGCTGGACCTCAAGAAGACGGTGGACATCTGCCGTGCGTCAGAGAACGCCCGGGCTACCTGCTCCGACCTCCGCTCACCGACGGCGTCAGTGAGCCGTCTGTCGGCATACCGCCGTTCAAGGTCGCGCGATGCGCGCCCCGCGGCCCAACCCGGCGGGCGTTCCGCGGGTACGGCCGGCGTGCGCCGCCCCCAGGCGCGCCCCGCGGCCCAACCTGGCGGGCGCTCCGCGGGCGCGGCCGGCGCGCGCTGCTGCCGCTGCGGGCGGGCCGCCCACGCAGACCCGGCGGCGTGCCGCGCTACTAGCGCCATCTGCAACTCGTGTGGCCAGCGCGGCCACTTTGCAGTGGTGTGCGCCCAGGTGGCGCGCGAGAGCGCCGCTGCCCCCGCCGAGCGCGCAGCACCGGAGCGCGCGCGGCCCGCGGTGAGGCAGCCGTCAGAGCCGCGCATCTGCCGTGTCATCAGAGACGTCTACGTGAACGGCATCTCGACGCGGCCGACTCCCACTGTGACTGTCCGACTGTCTACGCCGGCTGGTGTGTTCACCGTGCCGGCCCGGGCCGACTCCGGCGCCGAGGCGACAGTCATCGGAGAAGACAGCCTGTCTTCCATCTGCGTGGAACCAGCGCAGTTGGAGCCCTGCATCGGCCAGCCATTTTCAGCAGTAGGGAAACAGCCGCTCACCTGTGTCGGGTCGTTCCGGGCTACTCTGGAGCTGGGCGACCGATCGACCACCGCTGCCGTGTTCGTCATCAGGGAGCTGACTGGCCTGCTACTCAGCTGGTTCGACTGTGTGGCGCTGGGGATTCTGCCGAGGGATTTTCCGGCACAGATCCGGTCCGTCGAGGACGCACCGCGCCCTGCTGATGACGTCACGGCCTCTGTTGACGTCACATCCGCTGGTGACGTCACACCCTCTAATGACGTCACACCGTCTGCACCGCCGGCCGCTGCCGGCTCCGCTCGTAGCGCCAGCGGCCGCTCGGCCCCGTATGAGGCGCCGCGTGACAGGCCCTGTCCGGCCACCGGGACCGAGACGGGCGCGCCGGCGCCGCCGGCCGATGGACCCGGCCCGGCCGCCGGCCTCAGCGGTCCGCTGCCGGCCTGGGACAGCGACTCAGACCCACCGGAGGCGGTCCGTGCAGCTCATGCAGCCGCTCTGGTGGAGTGTTTCCCGCGTGTGTTCGGGCAAGATTCGACTCTTCGAGTCATGGACGGCGGTCCGATGACGATCGAACTCCGGCCCGACGCGTGTCCGACGTCGGTCACCGCTGCGAGACCGATCCCCTTCGCCTGGCGTGCCGAGGTAAAGGCGCAGCTGGACGACCTGCTGGACCGCGGCGTCATCGTCCCTGTGGACTACCCGACGGAATGGTGCCATCCCATTTCGTGCGTGCCGAAGAACCCGTCCGGGTTTCGACTCTGCGTGGACCTGACGGGACTCAACCGGTACGTGAATCGACCCACGTACCCCTGCCGGTCTCCTCACGATGCCGTGACGAGTCTGCCCGCCGGGCACCGGTGGATGTCGACTCTGGACGCCAAGATGGGCTACTTCCAGATGCCGCTCGCTGAGTCAAGTCAGGACCTCACCTGCTTCATCACGCCGTGGGGCAGGTTCAAGTTCGTCCGCTGTCCGATGGGATGCAGTGCGTCTGGAGACGAGTACAACCGGCGCGGCGATGCCGCGCTCGGCGACATCCCAAACTGTGTCAAGATTGTCGACGACATCCTGGCCGTGGCACAGACGTACCGGCAGCACCTGCAGCAGGTGATCGAAATCCTCCGGCGCTGTGACGACCGAGGAATCACGCTGAACCCGCTGAAGTTCAAGTTCGCCCAGAATGAGGTCAAATTCTGCGGCTACAAGATCACCCCGGCCGGCTACACCACCGACAATGAAAAGGCGCGCGCCATCGCTGATTTCCCGAGACCGGAGAACGTCACCGACCTGCGGTCCTTCATGGGTCTGGTGAATCAGCTGAGCGGCCTCACACCGGAGCTGGCTGGCTCGACTCAGGCCTTCAGAGACCTCCTCAAGTCGCGCCGGGTCTGGCGCTGGACTGAGCAGCACGAGGCAGCGTTTCTGCACACCAAGATTGTGCTGTCGTCACCGCCGGTGATGGCATTCTTCGACCCCCAGCTGCCGACCGTGCTACAGACGGACGCTGCTAAAACCCGAGGACTGGGTTTTGCACTGCTCCAGAGGCACGGAGAGGACTGGCGTGTGGTCCAGTATGGTTCACGGTTCCTGACCGATACCGAGAGCCGATATGCTGTAATCGAGCTGGAGCTGGCTGCTGTACTCTGGGCCTGCAAGAAGTGCCATGTCTACCTGGCTGGCATGCCCCACTTCGACCTGGTGGTCGACCACCGACCGCTGGTGACCATCCTAAACTACAAGCAGCTCAACTCGATCGACAACCCGCGTCTGCAGCGGATGAGAGAGAAGTTGTTGGCCTACAGCTTCACCACCAGCTGGCAGAAGGGATCGAGTCACGTGATCCCAGACGCGCTCTCGCGAGCGCCCACCAGCGACCCCGCCGCTGATGACGACGGAGCGGTGGACACCGAGGACGACCCGCTGCACGCCAGCGTCATTGCCGCGCTGCAGGCCTCCGCTCGATCGGAGGAGGGCGCCCAGCTGGCTCCGCTGGTCGACTCCACACTGGAGAGAGTCCGCGCCGCCGCGGAGCGCGACACCGAGTACCAGACTCTCAGCGAGCTGATCCTGGCCGGATTCCCAGAGAACCGGCACGAGACGCCCCCTGCAGTACGAGCGTACTGGGGCGTGCGCCATCAGCTGGCCATCGACGACGGACTGGTGGTCTACGGCGCTCGACTGGTCATCCCGTCCGCCCTCCGACGCGGTGTGCTGGAGAAACTCCACGAGTCACACCAGGGCGTTGATAGGACCAAGCGCCGTGCTCGGCTCAGTGTGTACTGGCCGGGCATCGACAAGCAGATTGCTGACACTGTCGCCGCCTGCGCTCAGTGCCGTCAGCGCCTGCCCAGCCACGCCCGGGAGCCGATGTGGCAGGAGGACGGCGCACCGACACGCGTCTTCGAGTCGGTCTCGGCCGACTACTTCTCCGCTGGAGGACGCACGTACCTGGTGTATGTGGACCGCCTGTCCGGGTGGCCGTACGTCACTGTGTGTCCCCGCACCGCCTCGGCGGACCATCTGACGCGGCAGCTCCGACTGATGTTCTCGCAGACGGGCGTCCCGACCGTGTTCCGGTCAGACGGCGGACCCCAGTTTGCATCAGGCACGCTCCGCCGGTTCCTCCAGCGCTGGGACGTACGGCATGAGATGTCGTCACCGCACTACCCGCGCGCTAACGGGCACGCGGAGGCCTGCGTGAAGACAGCGAAGAAGCTGGTGCTGGCTGCGTCCTCATCGGGCCGGCTCGACCAGGACCAACTGGACCGAAGTCTGCTCGAACTCCGTAACACGCCCCGAGCAGACGGACGGTCGCCGGCACAGGTGCTGTTTGGTCACCCGCTTCGCTCTGGTGTTCCCACGCACCACCGCGCCTTCGCTCCTGAGTGGCAGCGAGCAGCCGCTGTCTGTGAAGAAAAGGCTGCCGAGCTCCAGGAGCAGGTGGTCAGACGCTACGACGAGAGCACGCGCCGGCTGTCACCGCTCAAGATCGGCAGCCGGGTCGACCTTCAAGACCCCGCCACCGGCCGATGGAACCGGATCGGAGTGATCGTGGGCGTCGGTCAGAGGCGCACGTACCTCGTCAAGACCGCCAGTGGCAGGGTCCTGTGGCGGAACCGCCGCTACCTGCGCCCATACCGGCCCCTTCTGACAGAGCCCACCCCGCCTGTGGCTCCGTCCGCCCCGCGCGCGCCCCAGCGGCCGCCGCCGCCGCCGCCAGAGAGCACCGCGGTCGCCGCCGAGCGGGCGGTCCGACCCGCTGCTAGTGCGCCGGTTGTGTGCCGCTCGCCGCCGGTGCGGTCACCCGAGGTGGAGACGGCCGCCGCCGCTCTCCCGCGTCGTTCTCGACGGCAGCGCCGCGCTCCTGGTCGGCTCCGAGTTCAATGGGGTGCGACCTCGTATGAGGAGTGATTGTGAGACAACGTCGTGGAGTGTTGTGTTTTTGTGTGTTTTTGACGACTGTTGTCTCGAGGGGGGATGTTGTGTTCGGGTATAGGGGGTGTAGACTTGGACCGCCTCTGCGGCCCCACCTCTGTGTGCCTGGGAGCGCCCCTGCCGGCGCCCAGCTGTCCGTGCGCGCCAAGCGGCGTGAGTGGCGCACGGGACGAAAACTGACGCTCGCCATACTTGTTTAGTTTTTGGAAGACTCTCTCGGCCCATTCGCACCGGCAGTAAATAAATCGCGTTTCTCTTAAGCTCTCTCTCACTCGAACCGTGAATTACGAACATAACAGGAGCCACCCCCTCAACCTGCTCCTTCACGTCGGGGCCCATTGCCGCAGTCTCCGCTCCCGAGTGTGCCCCGGATCCAGCAGCTTCGCAAGCTGACAGCGCGGGGCTGGGGACTAGAGGAACGACAGCTCTGCGCTGTAGCGTCTGGATACGTCCGTGGAGTGCTGGTGCACGCGGCCGCCACCTGGCTCCTGGTGACGCCACAATCCCACGTGGAACTTCTCCAGAGGGAGATGCAGGCGGTTACCCGTATATCACCGGCTGCCCCTTGTTTACCCCAGCCCACGCAGTGATGGCGGAGGCCGAACTGATGCCGGTGCCCGCTGGCCGCCCGGCGAGACGTGCTGGTAGCGAAGCTCTTCGCCAAGGCGCACGCGCTCCCCGAGGGCAAGCCCTCAGGACTATCGCGGAAGATGGGCCGCCCAGCCGACTGAAGTCGGTGACGGGCTGGCGTGGGGTGGGGCACGAAACCTGGCGAGCGGCTGGGATCGCCCTGCTGCTCGACCCCCTGGTTGCATGCCAGCGCGCCGCCGTGGGAGGTGGCCGCCTTCCCAGACTTCACCTTCAGGCTGGACATCGGGACACTGCAGCGCGACGCCTCGGCTGATGAACTACACCTGGCGGCACAGCGACACTTGGCCACCCTCCCCAGCAAGCCATCAGGGTATGAACTGACGCATCGGCGGAAGCGGGAGTCCGCAGCGGAGAAGCCTTCGTGGAGTGTACACGGGTGTGGGAAATGAATGCTAAGTGTATCCAAATTGAAGGCACTGCTCTCGAAGGATATAAATACTGAACAGCTTTGGATTGTTTGTATTCCAAATGTTTACTTTCAGGACGAGTACTCCTTGTCATTCGGTCGTCAACTCCTCTCTCCGACGCCGGCTTAGCGCAGGCACGTATAACCTAAAATTTGGCCGGGGGGGGGGGAGCGGAGGAATCCCGTAGAGAGAGCCTCCTACCTACAGAGGGCCCTCTACCCGAGGAGTCAGAGGTGGTCAGACACAGACACTAGCGGCTATTCACAGGAGGCCCCATGTAGTAAATTGAATGACCCCAGGTGGCAGGCGAGTCGGAGAGCCTTGATTGTCCTGACGTGATTTTTTGGGGATTCCCATGAATTTCGTTCGTCTCCGACGTGATTTTGGCCAACGTGGGCCTTCTGCCAGCATGGGCCCTGAAAACCCCTAGGGGGCCGGGGGAGGCGCACCCCGTCCGTCCCCCCTTGGGTACCTACGTCCCCGGTCGGTCCAGCGGCTCCACACGCGCCTACCGACACACAAGAAACTCTTGCCATTATGTTTGCTTCTGACGCAATCATGACAGAATTACGCTCTATTGATATGCATGCTGCCATTGCTTTGGAGTCGGTCTTTTGAATTTCTGCGTTTTTTTTCGGATCGGCTCCACTCTCCAGACAGCTGGCTCAGCCTGATCGACCAGAGCGATGCGACACCTATACCAACTTGATACCAACCTACTTGGCGGGGTGGTGAATTCATGAAATGCGAATGCGAAACATGGCAATAGATGGCGGAACGAACAGCATGGGGAAGGCTGGAGTGGGACACGCATTGAGAAATGAAATCCGTCACTTCCCAGATTTCGAACGCATCCTTAGAGTGCATTACTTTTATGTGCTTGCGTTCGGTCTTGGGATTTCTCAGCAGATGTCGCCAACAGCAGAGAGATTGATCTAGAATGTCTCGTTATCGGAAAAGTATGGTAGCTATACGCCAAATGGTTTTTGCGTATAGTTACCATATTACTTCCGATATGACTGTTGACATTACTGCGGATATGACCGAGCAGTGCATTGGCAATATGCCAAGGGCAGTAACATGCCGTCAGTCACGTCAGTCATCGGCCTTGGCTATCTGTAAGAATCTTGGCAGGAATCTTGGCCTTTTCTTGGACCCATAGCGTCGGCCTTCGACCAATCATATCGCCGAATTCGCAGGCAGTGAGAGACAAATACGGCGTGCCGAAGACATATTGGGTGTCTCAAAATCACTGAGAACTCTATAGCTCAAAATTTAAGCCCTGCACTTTTTTAGATCTACCCCGTTGAGTGGCATTTTTGTGAAAATTATGTAAATATATTTATCAGAATAAGGGAGAAGTGTAGGGGGCGGCGGGTGAGGTGCAGAAGAAGAATAAGAAGAAGTTGCACCTATCCAGTAATTTTATCTTGATTTGTGGATTAGACGAAGACTAGATTTTGATAAAGAAATCGACAAACTTGAACTGCAGGTAAGGTGTTGGTTTGTCATGCCGATTGTCTTGAAACCTGTTCCTTTTAAACCTGGGCTTCACCATTTATGCTCCATATGTGAATTAGCCTTGAGGCAAAATAATCCGGCAGGTGGCTATTTTCTGTTTGTAAAACTGGCCTCAGATGGAGTGCTATCATTTGATCAACCATCACATGATCAGGCAGCAACAAAGTTTGTGGTTTTAGAATCTTGAAAAACTTTCTTGGGAGTGGCACTTGGTAGACATCTGTTTGAGATTCTGCTAGAGCAATAGCGTCGTGCTCAAGCCAGCCAAATTTTAGACTGCCAATTCACAAGAAAAAATGCTTGGTTAATCAGATTTCAGCCTATTAGGTAAGGCATCAATAGGCATTTAATTCAATTCTGGTGGTAAAAATCATGACCATATATTGGCATATCATCAATTTTTAATTTGTTGTGGCACACCTTGTTGTATATTGAGGCTTGAAGATGCTCAAGTAAATATTTTTGATGCGTGTGTTGATGAAGGCTAAAGTCCAATGAAAATAAAAAGCAGAAATTATCCTGACCTTCCCTTCCCTACTAACCTCCAACCTCCAACCTATCAGCCTACAAACCACCGTTCAGACTTCATCTACACGCAGGTTTAACATTTTATGATAAAGTAAAAAATGCTCAGCTTGTAATCCAATGCCTTTCAAAACCAATAGGCCTTTTTGGCCTTGCGAATGGTTAACGGAGAGAGAGAGTTACCTAACTCTATCATGTAAAAGCTGCTTTGAGAAAATAGCACTGTGTTTTATCCTGGCTTCATGACTCTCTAACGCTCTTTCAAACACATGGTTGTTTTCTGACAATTGGTGATACAGAGAGGGTCTGCATTAATGTCCAAGTATGGTCATTTAGGATCAATTTTTGGTGCCCTCGTTTTATATTATTCCAGCACTCCAGCAGCCTTACCCCGCGTTCGATGTCTCTCGGATGACGAAGATTCTACGTCGTCCAGCCAATCCCGTCCAAGGTCAGCTGGGGCTCGGCTGTGGTTATGAAACGTGATTGGCCGGACGGCGTAGAATCTTTGCCGTCCGGGAGACATCGAACGCGGGGTTAGTCTCCCCAACTGACATGCGCTGAATTTGTCGCATGTAACTTTACACCTGACGTGCGCCGAAATTTTAGGTGGAACCCTGCCACTACGCCAAATATAAGTTATGGCATGATCACTGCTCAGTTGCGCAGGTTCACCAGAACAGCGTCATGGGTGCAAAATGACCACCGTAGCGCCCGTAAACCCTAATAAACAAAGAAGCAAACATCAGTTGCGCAGTTAATGCCAATTTTCACAATTTTGATTGTCCATTGATATTGTTTGGTCATTTCAGGACTCGTGGCGCTGCTCGCCTCCTCGCCAATGCGAACGCGTTCTCTGAGGACAACCCGCCCAAGGCTAGTATGGCGAAGCCACGCCACCGCGCCGGCTATAGACTCACGGCCTGAAGCGAGTTTGGGCGCGACGGCTGGCGAGCCAAGGCGGCGGAAAGTCGTCTGGCGGAGCTCCCGTCTGAGGCGAGCTTGATCTGGTCAGACAGCTCCGCCACCGATGGTGTGCTAGATGGAGGAGGAGGGGCCACCCCCCCCCCCCCCCTGAACCGCGACATCCGGGAGGTGCGTGTCGCGGCAGGCGCCCTCTGCTCTAGCACGCGCGGCGAGCTATTCGCCCTAAGAGCGGTGTTGGAGGAGCTGTTGACCAAGACTGGTCGCGACACCTCTCTTCCGACAATTATCGTCTGTACCCACTCGATGGCGGCGCTGGCCCTCCTGCGGAGCGGCGCGGCGGCCCAGAGAGCCCCTCTGGCCGCAGACATATGGGGGCTGCTGGCAGCGCTCACCGAGGGGGCCATCCAGTGATAATGCAGTGGGTTCCTGCACACTGCGGGCTTCCGGGCAACGAGCGGATGGACGCCCTCGCGCGCGAGGCTGGCGCCCTATCCCAACGGTAGCGCCGTCCGCCGATCGACTTGGGCAGCACTATCTGCAAGGCAGGCGCGCGCGACGCTGCGCGCGCCTGGCGGCGGAGCTGGCAGGACGGATGACCCTGGCTGCCGCCGTGAGAACCATCCAGAACCGTACGGCTATGCTGCGGCAGCGGCTGAAAGGAACGCAACAACAATAACCACAACAGCAGCTGCTAATGAAAGGGGAAATCATGGAGCCGGATGACCCGGCACATGGCGCTCAGCCAGCTGAGAATGAGAGCAGCTATCAAATCGCCAGCAGGGTGCTGCGGCTGGTAACTGACGACCTTGGTAGAGAGAGCGCCTCCGCTGATGCGGATGAAACTACCCCCTCTCGGGTTTGTTTGACGCCGTCTCCGTCGACTCTTTCGCCTGGGCCGGCTGGCGACCGCGCTACATTTCTTGTGCAGTGACTCGTAACTGTGTTCACCAAACTTTTAAAACTCCCCACGTTAGCATCTTTAAAGAATGTTTTCCTCGTACACTGCTGCAATGTCTTATGTAGGCATGTTGTACAGTCTAAACGAGTGTGGAATGCTTTGTTGTGCTTATTTTGTATTTCGTTTGCTATTTATCACGGTGACTATAATTTATTTTGACCAACCCTTGCCTTGTTACAATTTTAGTGGATGGTTTCTGAACTGCTGTTTGCATTATAGATGTTGCTAGTGCGTAGACGCCAAAGATTACTTTATACCTATTGACGCGCCAGATAAAGGAGGTGAAGTATTCCTCTGATCTATACCTACGGAATTCCTTTATGTGTGTTTTGTAATCGATATTGGCGGTTTTCTTATGTGATGCGGTGTAGAGCGTGGCTGAGGAAGGCGATGTTTAAAGTTGCTAGTTATTTTTCAATACATCTTTGATCGGACTGTCGTGCTTGCTGTAGGTCGGACTTCCGTTCTTGATGGTGATTGGACGCACGTGCCGGTAGTTCACAACAATGCGGCTTTCGATTATAGTATAGATTTAGATGCATTTAAAGTGTTTGTATACGTAGTCCTGAGTTTCGAGATATTATCCTTGCGGGCTTCTTGCCAACAGATTGTCCTCTTCTGTGTCCAGTACTCATCCCACTCACGAGGCTCAGTTGTGTTTGCCAGCCCCTATACGGAAACATTGGCCAGATAACTGACTACTACTGAAATTTTAAGAAGCGTGGGCAGTAGGGCATAACGAACGGTCCTCAACTTCAGTAGCCGCGGAGGGGGGGGGGGGGACACCGCCGACTTTTGGTCCCATTCTTTCCATGCAGGCCAAAATCAAAGGGGGGCACGGTGCCCCGGTGCCCTCCCCGTTCCGTCGCCTATGCTCAGGTTATTTCTGACCTGACAGGCTCAGGGAGGATTGCTCTTTGTTGTTTTTCTCCGATGAACCCTCTTGCTGCACACTGGCTGATACAAAGGATGGAGGGGACGGGGGGGGGGGGGGGGGTGCAGACGTATGAAAAAAGAAGACAATGTTCTTTCCCTAGCGCACGAAATCAATTCTTAAATGAAAATTAAACGAATAAGCTTCCGTTAAGAAGCCCCCGTTCCGTATCTTCCGTTCCATTCCACGACTCGTACGTTCCAGTGACTTGCTGCCGTAGCGTCATCTATACCTCGCCCTTACTGCCGGGAAGGCCGCGAGTTGCGACATCTATACTATGTCTAGGCCTGAAGTACCTCTTAGTGTTCTTCCGCCACGATGTATTTATTTTTGTCAATCGGTTTGGTCCTTCTGGCCGGATAGGTCGTCAGAATTATCTGAAGGTGCCTGAAATGTCTCGTTAGTGGAAAAAATGTCTCGTTAGGGGAATTCCACTATCTGGCAACTAGCCCTATGTAAACGCGGCTAGGCTGAGCCAGCTGTCTGGAGAGTGGAGCCGATCCGAAAAAAACGCAGAAATTCAAAAGACCGACTCCAAAGCAATGGCAGCATGCATATCAATAGAGCGTAATTCTGTCATGATTGCGTCAGAAGCAAACATAATGGCAAGAGTTTCTTGTGTGTCGGTAGGCGCGTGTGGAGCCGCTGGACCGACCGGGGACGTAGGTACCCAAGGGGGGACGGACGGGGTGCGCCTCCCCCGGCCCCCTAGGGGTTTTCAGGGCCCATGCTGGCAGAAGGCCCACGTTGGCCAAAATCACGTCGGAGACGAACGAAATTCATGGGAATCCCCAAAAAATCACGTCAGGACAATCAAGGCTCTCCGACTCGCCTGCCACCTAGGGTCATTCAATTTACTACATGGGGCCTCCTGTGAATAGCCGCTAGTGTCTGTGTCTGACCACCTCTGACTCCTCGGGTAGAGGGCCCTCTGTAGGTAGGAGGCTCTCTCTACGGGATTCCTCCGCTCCCCCCCCCCCGGCCAAATTTTAGGTTATACGTGCCTGCGCTAAGCCGGCGTCGGAGAGAGGAGTTGACGACCGAATGACAAGGAGTACTCGTCCTGAAAGTAAACATTTGGAATACAAACAATCCAAAGCTGTTCAGTATTTATATCCTTCGAGAGCAGTGCCTTCAATTTGGATACACTTAGCATTCATTTCCCACACCCGTGTACACTCCACGAAGGCTTCTCCGCTGCGGACTCCCGCTTCCGCCGATGCGTCAGTTCATACCCCGATGGCTTGCTGGGGAGGGTGGCCAAGTGTCGCTGTGCCGCCAGGTGTAGTTCATCAGCCGAGGCGTCGCGCTGCAGTGTCCCGATGTCCAGCCTGAAGGTGAAGTCTGGGAAGGCGGCCACCTCCCACGGCGGCGCGCTGGCATGCAACCAGGGGGTCGAGCAGCAGGGCGATCCCAGCCGCTCGCCAGGTTTCGTGCCCCACCCCACGCCAGCCCGTCACCGACTTCAGTCGGCTGGGCGGCCCATCTTCCGCGATAGTCCTGAGGGCTTGCCCTCGGGGAGCGCGTGCGCCTTGGCGAAGAGCTTCGCTACCAGCACGTCTCGCCGGGCGGCCAGCGGGCACCGGCATCAGTTCGGCCTCCGCCATCACTGCGTGGGCTGGGGTAAACAAGGGGCAGCCGGTGATATACGGGTAACCGCCTGCATCTCCCTCTGGAGAAGTTCCACGTGGGATTGTGGCGTCACCAGGAGCCAGGTGGCGGCCGCGTGCACCAGCACTCCACGGACGTATCCAGACGCTACAGCGCAGAGCTGTCGTTCCTCTAGTCCCCAGCCCCGCGCTGTCAGCTTGCGAAGCTGCTGGATCCGGGGCACACTCGGGAGCGGAGACTGCGGCAATGGGCCCCGACGTGAAGGAGCAGGTTGAGGGGGTGGCTCCTGTTATGTTCGTAATTCACGGTTCGAGTGAGAGAGAGCTTAAGAGAAACGCGATTTATTTACTGCCGGTGCGAATGGGCCGAGAGAGTCTTCCAAAAACTAAACAAGTATGGCGAGCGTCAGTTTTCGTCCCGTGCGCCACTCACGCCGCTTGGCGCGCACGGACAGCTGAGCGCCGGCAGGGGCGCTCCCAGGCACACAGAGGTGGGGCCGCAGAGGCGGTCCAAGTCTACACCCCCTATACCCGAACACAACATCCCCCCTCGAGACAACAGTCGTCAACAACACACAAAAACACAACACTCCACGACGTTGTCTCACAATCACTCCTCATACGAGGTCGCACCCCATTGAACTCGGAGCCGACCAGGAGCGCGGCGCTGCCGTCGAGAACGACGCGGGAGAGCGGCGGCGGCCGTCTCCACCTCGGGTGACCGCACCGGCGGCGAGCGGCACACAACCGGCGCACTAGCAGCGGGTCGGACCGCCCGCTCGGCGGCGACCGCGGTGCTCTCTGGCGGCGGCGGCGGCGGCCGCTGGGGCGCGCGCGGGGCGGACGGAGCCACAGGCGGGGTGGGCTCTGTCAGAAGGGGCCGGTATGGGCGCAGGTAGCGGCGGTTCCGCCACAGGACCCTGCCACTGGCGGTCTTGACGAGGTACGTGCGCCTCTGACCGACGCCCACGATCACTCCGATCCGGTTCCATCGGCCGGTGGCGGGGTCTTGAAGGTCGACCCGGCTGCCGATCTTGAGCGGTGACAGCCGGCGCGTGCTCTCGTCGTAGCGTCTGACCACCTGCTCCTGGAGCTCGGCAGCCTTTTCTTCACAGACAGCGGCTGCTCGCTGCCACTCAGGAGCGATGGCGCGGTGGTGCGTGGGAACACCAGAGCGAAGCGGGTGACCAAACAGCACCTGTGCCGGCGACCGTCCGTCTGCTCGGGGCGTGTTACGGAGTTCGAGCAGACTTCGGTCCAGTTGGTCCTGGTCGAGCCGGCCCGATGAGGACGCAGCCAGCACCAGCTTCTTCGCTGTCTTCACGCAGGCCTCCGCGTGCCCGTTAGCGCGCGGGTAGTGCGGTGACGACATCTCATGCCGTACGTCCCAGCGCTGGAGGAACCGGCGGAGCGTGCCTGATGCAAACTGGGGTCCGCCGTCTGACCGGAACACGGTCGGGACGCCCGTCTGCGAGAACATCAGTCGGAGCTGCCGCGTCAGATGGTCCGCCGAGGCGGTGCGGGGACACACAGTGACGTACGGCCACCCGGACAGGCGGTCCACATACACCAGGTACGTGCGTCCTCCAGCGGAGAAGTAGTCGGCCGAGACCGACTCGAAGACGCGTGTCGGTGCGCCGTCCTCCTGCCACATCGGCTCCCGGGCGTGGCTGGGCAGGCGCTGACGGCACTGAGCGCAGGCGGCGACAGTGTCAGCAATCTGCTTGTCGATGCCCGGCCAGTACACACTGAGCCGAGCACGGCGCTTGGTCCTATCAACGCCCTGGTGTGACTCGTGGAGTTTCTCCAGCACACCGCGTCGGAGGGCGGACGGGATGATCAGTCGAGCGCCGTAGACCACCAGTCCGTCGTCGATGGCCAGCTGATGGCGCACGCCCCAGTACGCTCGTACTGCAGGGGGCGTCTCGTGCCGGTTCTCTGGGAATCCGGCCAGGATCAGCTCGCTGAGAGTCTGGTACTCGGTGTCGCGCTCCGCGGCGGCGCGGACTCTCTCCAGTGTGGAGTCGACCAGCGGAGCCAGCTGGGCGCCCTCCTCCGATCGAGCGGAGGCCTGCAGCGCGGCAATGACGCTGGCGTGCAGCGGGTCGTCCTCGGTGTCCACCGCTCCGTCGTCATCAGCGGCGGGGTCGCTGGTGGGCGCTCGCGAGAGCGCGTCTGGGATCACGTGACTCGATCCCTTCTGCCAGCTGGTGGTGAAGCTGTAGGCCAACAACTTCTCTCTCATCCGCTGTAGACGCGGGTTGTCGATCGAGTTGAGCTGCTTGTAGTTTAGGATGGTCACCAGCGGTCGGTGGTCGACCACCAGGTCGAAGTGGGGCATGCCAGCCAGGTAGACATGGCACTTCTTGCAGGCCCAGAGTACAGCAGCCAGCTCCAGCTCGATTACAGCATATCGGCTCTCGGTATCGGTCAGGAACCGTGAACCATACTGGACCACACGCCAGTCCTCTCCGTGCCTCTGGAGCAGTGCAAAACCCAGTCCTCGGGTTTTAGCAGCGTCCGTCTGTAGCACGGTCGGCAGCTGGGGGTCGAAGAATGCCATCACCGGCGGTGACGACAGCACAATCTTGGTGTGCAGAAACGCTGCCTCGTGCTGCTCAGTCCAGCGCCAGACCCGGCGCGACTTGAGGAGGTCTCTGAAGGCCTGAGTCGAGCCAGCCAGCTCCGGTGTGAGGCCGCTCAGCTGATTCACCAGACCCATGAAGGACCGCAGGTCGGTGACGTTCTCCGGTCTCGGGAAATCAGCGATGGCGCGCGCCTTTTCATTGTCGGTGGTGTAGCCGGCCGGGGTGATCTTGTAGCCGCAGAATTTGACCTCATTCTGGGCGAACTTGAACTTCAGCGGGTTCAGCGTGATTCCTCGGTCGTCA